GATAGAAAGGAAACCTTTGTGAGATCTCGTTTAGGACTAGTTTTTCCTCTGGGTTAAACCAGTTCTAACTGGACTTATTTATCATGCAATTCTTGAAACATCCGTTTTAAACAAATATGACTAAATTTAGACAAGGCTCTAATGGACAAAGATAAAAAATAACTTGTCCATTAAAGGGGGTGGGGTTGATTTTCCAATTAACTTAACMTTTGAACCATTTTAAAACAACATGAATGTTGAAACATTTAAATGTTACATTTTCACTATGACAAATTTTCAAGCACATGGCTTTTATTGAACCATAAAAATCATTGTATTGTTGATTTCTAACAGCTCTAAGTGGATCATTGAACCACACACCTGTTTCAATCAGTTGCACATTTAATTCAACCTGCAGTTTTCCTGCAGTACAAAGACAGTTGAGTCCAAGCAGGAAGGTAAATAATTGTTGTGTTTGATGAACGTTCTGATTTTTAAACTTGGCTGTGCTGAGGGTGTTTGGTAACTTTTAAGATTTTCTTCTCACCTAACTTTAAGGCTATATTCTCAGTGACAACAGACATTAGATKAAAACCTCTTATTTGGGTGGAATTTTCATATCTCAAAACAAAAATGAGAACACAAAGGGTAGTTTTACAGGAATTTGAACTTTTTTTTAGGAGTCTGTTTCTCAAAAGAAGATTTGACTGAGCCAAGAATTTAGGAAAGAAAGCTGGGCTTGATTAAGTCTTTAGGGGTGTTGGGGAGATTTCATTTGAGCATAAAGTCACTGCAGTCTGATTTTCTCGTATGTGTCTGGTTTATGCTTTTAAATAAATGACATGAAAAATGAAAACTTTCCTGGTAGCTTTCATCAGGTAAAATTCCCAAACCTTCATCTCTTTTGTAGAGCAATCTGATCCACCTCCTGACTATGAACGGACTAACACTCCTGCAGCTTCTCACTGGTAAGACTATAAAATCTCAGTACATTTAGTCACACCTGTTGAAGTTTGGCCCTGATCTACCTCCAATGTGCCCCTCAGCCTGTGTGGTCAGTGAAGCARCATCCAGAGCCCTTTGGCAGTTCGGGAATATGATMGTTTGTGTTCAGCCTAATGTGAATCCTCTGGAGTACAACAAATACGGCTGCTACTGTGGCTTTGGTGGATCGGGGAAACCAGTGGATGGCTTGGACAAGTAGGAGAAATAAAGCACTTCATCATTTTCACCAAAACACAAGTCAAATTGTTTTCCTTCTGCTTTCTCAGGTGCTGTCAAACTCATGATGATTGCTACGAAGATGTCCGCAAGATGGAACACTGCTCGTCTTCCCTCCTGCATCTCTTTGTTCAAATTTACCATTACACCTGTACGAGCAAAAATGTGACATGCACAGGTGATGTTTCCATTTTGAATCTAAAACTACATTTTTTTCTTTATATGCTGAAGAGCTTTTCTCCTGACTTTATTTTCTCTCTCTGCAGATGCCAACAAGAAGTGCGAGGCAGCTTTGTGTGAGTGTGATCGAGCTGCAGCTCACTGYTTCGCCCAAAATGAGTTTAACCCCAAACACAAACATGAGCACCTGAATCCAAAAGTCTGTCAATAAAATCTCACTTTAAAGAGAACCTGGTGCAGAACTTGACTTTATTTTAAAAGCTCCGGAGAGGCAAAAGAAGTTCAGTTAAGGCTGATCATCTCAGTGTGTGTGAGAGATAAAGGGAAATAAATGGATCTGTCACAGCAGTAGAAACCATTCTTCATCTTTTATCATCTCCATTACATCGTGATGTTTGAGGTCATGGTTGATTCAGATCGTGGCGATTTGACAAGTTGTTTATGAAGTTTTGTCTAAATCTAAAGCTTATTCACATGTTGACAGTTTTAACAAGTWAAAAAAGTAAACAGCTTAGCTTATTAAACTAATAAGAACAAACGTGGGTCCACAGTTTTCACAATAATCCCAATGAGAGCTGTGTCCAAGACTTGGTTGTGCTTCTGTAGGTTATATTGGCCTTCGTGATATTTGTGTACATGTACTGTGCTCCAAACCACCTCATTTCTAAAATGATTGACACAAAAAAGTGATCGATTGCTTCCAGCAGTGACACTAAAGTTGACAATTTACTGGATTGGATGGAGGGCTGCAGGAGCTTAATGACAGCTGAAAAGCTGCACTCTTCCTCTGAATACTTTAGAACAGGGGCTCTCAAGCCATTTGGGTCTGGGGACTTCTTACAAGGACAAAAAAAAAAAAAAAATTCCAGGGATCTCCTCATAAACCCCATGCTGTTTTAAAAGATAATTTGTCATTTCAACCCCTAAATGCCATGGGAATATATATTTATATTAAG